CAAAAAGGGGTCATTTGGGGGTTATTTGTACTGTCCTGGCATTTTAGGGCCACAAGAAATGAGATGTCAGTACATCAGGATTCATCAATTTTCAATGATACGTACCATAGCTTGTAGATTTTATGAAGAAAAATGACTTGTTTGCAACATTTTATAATAGAAACAAAGAAAAACACATTATTTTCAAAATATTCAGTATTTTTTTCTTTTATATCACAAAAAATAACCTAGTAATTATTAAATACCACCAAATGAAAGCTTTATCTGTCTCAAATTATAAAACAATTTGTGTGTGTACAGTGTAATTAGAGTAATTATTGAAAGTGTGAGGGTGCTGAAAGCTGAAAATTGGCCTGGGCAGGAAGGGGGTAAAAGTACCCTGTATGGAAATGGTAACTAGAATTTCGTAGCCACTGTGTAGTAAAGAAAATAAAGAGATAAATATAAAACAAAAATATAAGAAACCATACAAAGTTTTTGAGATGAATAATTCCGCAATAGTCAAAGTATAGTGAATTTGTGGAACTGCATTGTGTTATTGCAGGTTTACTAGTTTGTTGTGACTGTACCTGTACTGATATATAGGCTGTCATTTGCTTCCTTCTAAAAATGTTGGAAGGATAGCTCAGCAACATCCCCTGTACTTCTCTCATGATAGATTTTCCTGTTACATCTTCATTTGGTTTTATAGTAAATTTAAGAATAACTTGACATTTTTAGATACTCTTTAAGGAAAAAAATACATTCAATAAGGGAAAAAAGGCTTTGTTAGTGCATGGCTGTTGTAGTTTTCTATGGCATTAGCTTGCAATGCATGTTATGAAGAATTCAGTACCCATTGAATCCTAATTTTCCAGTCATCTTCCATTCTTGTGCTGCAGAACATTTTCAGAACAAGACATCAATGTAAACTCTCTGTAATTATATTCACACCTCTGAAAGGATCTTGCCCTTGTCATCACCTTTTTATTTATTTATTTAAACAATCGTGCCCATTGTTTGTTCCTTCATTCGGAAAATGACTGCAATAAGCTCAATAATTAGAGCACAATGACAGCTAAAGTAAATTATATACTTCCAAGAATGTGGATACAGAGGCTTTCACAGAAAAAAGGTTATACAAGGACTTTTGAATTAACAATTACGACCACAGAAAGTTACAATGATGGGTTTTTGTGTCTTGTATAATGTAAGATGCATGTAGATGTAACTGGCCTTTTTTTATTAACTGCAATTTTTTTTTTTTTTTAAATACTTCTTCCCTCCTGCCTGTTGTTCTTTCTCTCCAAATGGGCAACTAACCCTCTTCATACTCCAGTAATGTCTCTATGTTATCCTCTGTAGCCGGCCACCTATCCTCTTCTGGGTTCTGATGTTGGCGGTGGCTGGTGCTTTCTATGAGCCCCAGGTATTCATTAATTCATTATCTTGGAGCTTTGGTTCACTGTACTCCTGCACTGAAGAGCACATCATTGCATGGGTCTCGCTCAGTTTAGGAGTTAGGACTGCCCAAGAAGAGAAAGATCCCTGTGGGATTTGGGAAATATAAGCTGGACTTCTGCTATAACATGTCTAAAGGAGATGCTGCTCTTGTCCATATCACCCAATCTAAGTCTCAGCTCAGTCTACCATTCTGTACTTGAAAAATAGAGGAATCTTGTTGCTATGAGCAGTAAGAACATTTCTTCTTTCACACAATGTGCAAGGCCTACAGACTTTGGATGGAGCATAATGCATTGGTGATAAGGGTGCAAATCAAATTCAGCCTTTCTATATTTCCACTTCTGATCCTCAAAATGTGCTCTTGTTTTAATTTACACATTATATTTATTACATACAGATCAGAGGACCAAAGTTGGCTCAGATCAATCTGTAACAAAGCTGGCTTCTCATTAATACCAAACAGTGAAAAGGATAGATCAAGCAATTTATCAACAGGATCAGGTGTATTTCTGATACCAAAAGACAGTAGCTGCCTCTCCTTTAGGGCTGATTCACACTTGTAGCAGCCCTGGTGCCCTTCTGAAAAGCAATCTGCGGTGGACCACTTTTCAGCGGGAGGTTGACAAGCAGCTGGGAATGGATTTGTCACCCGCTCACTGCCTGTTTTAATCCTGGAAGGCCTGCACCCCCATGCCGCAACCGCATACATTACATGCAGTTGCAGTGTGGTCCCATTCACTTGAATGGGTCTTATTCAGCCACGGTAATGCCTGATCAATGCAACATAGAGTAGAATTTTTGCCGTGGAATATATACAACCCAATCTGGATGCAGTTTCAGCTTAAGGGCACAGTCAAGGGGTGGCAAAATCATGGCTTATCTACCTATTTTTACTGCCCCCTGGCCGCCTATTTGATCAACCCTTTAGGAATCTGAGAGGTGGAGGGAGGTTGATCTGACCTATATACCACTCTGGTCTCAAATAAGGAGCTGTTTGACATCTCATTGACACGAAGAAACCTTTCAGGCACATCAGATGAGATCCAGTAGGTACAGGGAAACGAGGCCCATCAGACCAAAGCTTAGGATAAGTTCACCTTTGGGAACATGATACATGTTCCACCTGCTTTTAGGGTGAAACATGTTCCCACTGCTGCAGCTGCTGCCCTCTCCGCTGCATCTAGTGACAGCTAGCAGAGGATTTTCTCCCCGCGCTAGCTGTCACTATTTTACAGAGAAAAAAAAATGCACCCAAGACACCCACCTGGCCGCGTCATTCATTTACAGAGTCCTGTGAATGAGAAACTACAAGTACCAGCAGCCTTTGTGGCTGTCAGCTTGTAGTTCTCAATGAACTACCACGCTGCTGTTGAGCAGCTTATGTCCATGTACAAGTCAATGGGAATCAGAAGGAGGTCAGAAGTATTTCTAACTGGTCTCAAATGTATTCTGAATACACCTAAAATTAAGCTGCATTTACCAATCCACACGCGCTATTATGGTTTCCCATTTCCACGCTGACAAGCTAATGTGAAGGAGCCCAAATTTGCATAACTGAAAAAAAAAACAGATATGTAGCATTACTTTTTGTGCCGTGCTGTGCAATCAAATAAAGAAAACACGTGCAAGTAATTAACCAATCGCCCTGCATATGTAATAATGAATTCAGTAGTTTGTCTGCTTTTACTATACACAAATGAAAGAAAAATGATGTTTAGAATAAAATTGTGTGTGTGAATGAGCTGCAAACAACCATGTAGATTTTCTATCCGGGGGGAGCGTAGTGCAAAGACACAGCTGTAGCTGCCGCCGGTGACAGATGAGTCACCATTAGCAGCTCTGCAGGCCAGCACATTTAGGTGCCAAAGGCACATTGCTGTTTTAGCCATAAACTCTGCATTGACATCAACTCAGCCCTACGTTTTGTTCTCCAAGCCTCGAGTTTAAAGCAGACCTAAAGAGTACTCACTTCCTACAAATAGTCTATATTTCGCTGATAACCTTGCAATTGTACAGTCAAGGGAATTATATGCTCAGCTTTGCAGTTGAACTACCTGTGTGCACCTTTACAAACCATAAATTGTTAGTTTTGAGGACAGGTCTAAAATGTGATTCAGTTATGCATATATATATAAAGAAAATAATTAATGTATATTTACATGGAGCTAGTATAAGTAGCTAAATGTGAATTGATGTTGAGCCCCCCCCAGTATGCCAGCACTCAGACTGGCCGAAGGAAGGGCAGTGTTAGAAGCCCATCAGGAGGAGGCCTAAGCTTGTAAGCAGGCGTTAGTTCTCCTTTTAGTAAGCTCCCTCCTATGGATCGATATGGTGGGTGGAATTGTGTATCCCTATATATTGTGGTGTGGGAGGAGTCTGGGCAAAGGAGTAATGGGAATAGGCTACCTGTGGTTTACATCATGTTTTAGAAACTCTGCTGCAGGGAAACCACATGGTCTTTTTGACCATGTTGTTTCTCTGCAGTTCCCGCACCTGCAATCACCCTGCGGGTTGACGTGTGGGGGTGCCATTCAGAATGAATGGCAGTCCCACGTGTCTTGCAAAAACAGCACAATTTGGCTGTGGGTGGTTGCAGGAGCGGTAATCGATGCCGTTCCTGCACCCGTGGGTTAAGAAAAGAGGAGTAGTCCAGCTCCCCAGTGCCCAGTCCAGCTTCCTGTACTGCTTCACCATTGAGGCTCTGACATCCTTTGTAAATGTTTTATAGAACATTTGTTTTGCTCATTACATGAAAGTAAGGAAATAATAAAGCTTATGTTACAAAATCTTCAGTTTTACTCAAATTAGCTGATGCAAAATGAATACACCCCACAACAAAAACTACTACATCTAGTATTTTGTATGACCTCCATGATTTGTAAGAACAGCACCAAGTCTTCTAGGCATAGAATGAACAAGTTGGCAATATATTGCAACATCTCTCTTTTTCCCATTCTTCAAGAAGAACCTCTTTTAGAGCCTGGATGCTAGATTATGAGTGATGGTCAACTTGTCTCTTCAGAATTCCTCATAGGTGTTCAATTGGGTATAGATCAGGAGACATACTTGGTCACTGAATCCCTTTCATCCTGTTCTTCAGAAATACAACTGTGGCCTTAGATGTGTGTTTTGGATCACTTGTCATGTTGGAAAAGTACGACCAAGGACACAAAGTGATGGGATCATCTTCTCTTTCAATATAGAGCAGTACATCGGAGACTTCATGATACCATCAATGAAATGCAGCTCCCCAACACTAGCAGTGCTCATCCATCCCCACAGAAGGACACTGACCCCACCATATTTCACTGTAGGCACCATGCATTTTTCTTTGTACTCCTCACCTTTGCGACACCATACAGTTTTGAAGCCATCAGTTCCAAAAAATTTCTTTTAGTCTCATCACTCCAGGGTACAGAGTAGTCTTCTTTTTCAGCATCGGCCCTGGCAAATTTAAGCTTTAGGAGAGGCTTCCTTTGTGGATGACACCCATGCATGCCATTCCTCTGCAGTGTATGCCGTATTATGTCATGGGAAACAATCACCCCAGTTTGGCTTTCTACTTCTTTAGCTAACTACAGTGAACTTGCATGGTGATTTTCTTCAACCCTTCTCATTGAGGTGTTACTTTTGTGGATGGCCTGGATGTCTAGCACGTACCTGGTGACAGAGACCAATGGAGAGAGGACTTCCCTTGCAGCTAAGTTCTATACTCCCCTGAAGGTGGGACAGCAGGAGTCAGGCCCAGAGTAGCACAGGTCGCCTGTGGGAGTGCTTGTTTGGTGGTCCACCCAGGAGCACGGCTGATGCGCTGAGATGGGGTCTGCAGGCAGGGAGCACCTGTGCGAGGTATGCAGGTCTTCCAGAGAACAGAGGATCACAGGATAACCAGTTCGAGCCAAGGTCAGGTGCCATGTGGGGATCGGAGCAGACGTAGTCAAAAGGGATAGCCAAGGTCATACACAGAGAGCAGGAGAGAAGATCCGTTAGACAAGCCAGGGTTAGGTTGGGGTTAAACAGAGCAGACAGGTCCAGGAGCATGCCGTGTTGTTAACAGGAAATCACAAGTCAGAATAGCAAGGGAACGAAGGTACTAGGAAGCCAGAGATCAACCAGAACCTGAGAGTAGTGCAGGGCTACCTTGTAAAGGCTGTTTGGAGCCAAATTTGAGCCAATGTGAACTTCTGCAGCCATGCAAGGTACTGGCAGGGGTGCCAGGTCTCCTAACACCTCTGCTGAGGACAGAGCCCTGACAACGTCTCTGTGATATGGTTGCAGTTCCATCTTTGTTAAATTTTTGTATCACATTTGCTACAGTATTCTAACTGATAAGTAAAGCTTTCCTGATCTTCTTGTAGCCTTCACCTTGTTGAAAGAAATTATTTTCTTTCTCAGGCCTTGTGACATTTCTCTTCCATGTGGTGCCATTGCTGACAGCATGAAATGGGAGGGGTTTTCTTTGTTACGTAATGCCCTTTTATAATCAACTGTCTGCTGGCCACCTGTTTAATGAATAACTAGTCTCACCTGTAGTTGAATTCTTGTTAATTAGGATTTTTTTTTGTCTAAAATTTAGCTTTGCTCCTAATACTTTCATTGGGGTGTATTCATTTTTGCTACATGGTCTTGAATGAATTTGTTGTGTGTGAAGATTAACAAATCTTTGCAATCAACGGCCCGCATTTGTGGAAATATTTAAGTGTTCTTGCATGGCAAGACCACTTACTGTATCTCACATATATTTTCTTATTATTATAGCCACATTTACCACCCTAACTCCTCCCACAGTTTTTACACTACATAGACAGTAATATACCGAAACAAGCGGATTGTTCCCGATTGGTGTTCTATTACTTTGTAGAATGTTGCGCCGAATGGTTCATGAAATATCGGCGTTTTTGTGGGGAAATTGGTCCCATAGGAATGGATGGCGGAATGTTCAAAACTAGAGTGGGAGCTGACAAAAGCTACAGTGTGAGCTGAAAAATCAGGACATGATTTCTAAACTGCCATCACTCATTTTCAAGCCCACCTACACAAATCTTATATCAAAACATTCAGCTATCCCTGCTGCCACTAAAAATGTCCACAGCTAAGCCATAGTCCTGATAGTTTTCAAAATATGACCATTTGTTTGCAACTAATGCCGCCTATTGACATTCATTGAAACTGCACTCTAGCCACCTCAAATTTGAAGGGCAATTTCTAAACTGCGACTGTGCCTTCATTGTTAATATTTCAGAGACATACTATGCAACAAAATGTAGGTCTGGGTCTTGTGATTCTCACAATAAAAAGCTCTTCACTGTAGGATTTATAGTTTTTAAAACTATGACCATTTGAAGACGCCAGTGAAGTGAGCAATTTGGAGCAGTTTGTTTTTAACTGCTCTTCTCTGCCCTACTTGAAATCTAATTTTGAATTTGTGACAGTTTGGCCGGCTTCTGGTTAACGGTTTGGAAATAAGTTTTCTACAGTAGAGAGTATTTGAGGTGATAATGCTGCTAATGTTTTTATAAATGTATGTTTTAATGTAACTGTGAAGCACTTTGGGCAACAACATTGCAATTAAATGTGCTATATAAATAATTAAAAGTTGAAATGCATTTCTCACTCTATCAAGCTTGCCATGTGCACTTTTTAAATTTGATCAATCAATTGGTTAGTGTAATGTTTACTATCTATACTCTCGCCAAACACTCCACACAGTTACTCTGCCCACTCCATAAAGTTACTCTGCCCAGTCCAACCTTTTCACAGTTACTCCAGCCACTCCAACCACACAACAGTTACTCAAGCCACTCCACCCAGTTACTCCGCCCACTCCAGTAGACTACTGGTGGAGGCAAGAACACTTCACACAATTTCCCCAGAAATTGTAGTTTTTCTAGTTTGTAGTATAGTGTCCCATTATATAATTTGTTTTTTTTAATTTCATTTTTTTTTCTTTATTTTGGATTCACATTTATAGTTCCATATGTTGATATTGAGTGGGTTTTAGACCATTTAAATCATCTCTGTGTTGATGCAGATATATGCAAACGATCCAACCCCATCTTCTATACATGATCCAATCTGAGCTGAAAGAATTACCTTCTATTGATAGCAGAGGTAGCACTCAGCAAATGTGCTTTTTTTCTGGCTAGTGTGTACATAGCCTAAAATGTCTGACACTGCATTTAGTGTGAATTCACACTGACGTTCCAGCACCTGAAAAAGATCTAGAGAAGAGCCCACGCATCTTGGGACTGTCCTGAAGAGATCTGGAAAAGGGAAGGAGAAACAAGATGAACCCAGAGTTTGGCTTTAAAACACAAAGAAACAGCAAAATGGCCATATGTGGCCCAAAAAAACATGAGTTTGACCATATTACTGTATACAATGAATTTGGCTAAGAATTTGATTTTGGACTTTACAATAAATAATTTGTCTCTGTGATAGACCCCGATTTCTCATTTATCAATATTGCAGAGTGCCATTACGTGAATGTACACAAATCCCACTTGTCTTTCCTTCTAAACATTGCTATGTCCTCCTGATAACAAGACACCATTTGTCTAACTGTCAGTGATACAACTGAGCCAAGCATGCACACGTGTCAGTGATTCAGCAGTGGAGAGTTAAATCTGACAATCATTGTCAGCCATTAACAGCTGCATATTCTGCTCATTTTGCACTTTCGTTAAAAACCAGTTGCTTTGTCAGATCTGAATTGAGTTCAATTTTGAGCTGAAGGAAAGCTTAATTGTCTTAGTCCTCTGACCAGGGAAAATTTCACACATTTGGAGTCTGTTTGCAAACAGGCTCTGTGACTGGAGGCTTGCAAAGCATGAGGTTACCCTTTATGCATACTAGGGTTTTGTTCTCCAATCTGTCTTCTCAATACACATAAAACACTGGCAATTAAAGGCTAACCCATCAAAGTGAAATATGAGATGCTTCTAGATTAAAATAAAATGGTTCTCAGCATTAACATATTAAAATAGTGACCTTTAAAGGGAATTATACTGCTAGGTTTCATGTTTTCTTTATTATTATCAGTACTAAAAATTTAGGTTGAAAAATCTATATAAAAAACAAATACTTTTAGAGATGTTCCCTGAATTTTGTTTGACGACAATTTCCTTTCTCTCGTGCAATTATCATACAATGTTTAGTATGTGCGCTATATCTTGGCAGATCTTGTATTGTTCTGATGTATACATCGAAACGCTGTTGCTGCTGTGTAATACTAAGCTAATGGAATTGCTGTTACATGCTATATTCTGTTTATAATGGTGAACCCCTCTTCTAAATAAAACCCGTTTTTAAAAAATCTATTTTTTAGTCAGATATACTATATGAAAGATTGCGTGTTAATATGATGATGCCTACTGTTTAGCCAGCAGATGGAGCTCTAGTTTCCTTTATTTACATTTCTCTAATGCAGCTTTCAGCTCTGCTGTAAGATTCCCACTGTATACAGAATGTGAATGAATCATCACAACAGAGCATCCCTTAACAGGGGGCTGAGTCATGGGTTTCAGTCATGAAGTGTTTGTAACGATTTATTACATGTTTATTTGCAAATCAAAGACTATACTAAATAAAATTAATGCAAACCATTCAAGTTTTTAACAATGTTTAAACCTACTACAATATTAATGTTAGTAGGGAAAAGGAACCAAAGGTTTTTGGGTGATTTTACCAAACAGCAGTCCCTGCCCACCCAATGTACTATTTCATCCAACCTGCCGGCTCCCCGCACTCCGTCAGGGGAATTCATCTCTGAAACAGTAATGGCATATTAGCAGCATATTATCCAATACATGGTTAGATTTAGTTTTATAGGCTTGTTAGTAATGTAGCTTTGATTCTGTTAATGTATTCAGGACTGTTGGTGCTGTGCTGTAGTTTCAAGTGTCTTCCCTTACATTGTAATATCTTCAATATAAATTCAGGAAGGGGGTTGCTAACTACAAGGTATTATTTCAGAAAAGGCTTTCATGGGTCACTTACTTACATAATTTGTATAAATCATAATTTGTATACAGTAAATGCTGCTCTTCAAATTGTAATGTGATTTGGGCATAATTTCTATGCATAATGCAATAGTGACATGATACATAATTACAAATGACATTGCAGTTTTATCATTGGAATAAACTATAGTGACTATAAGACCCCATAATATTCTGGCTTGCTTAATGTTGAATCATTTTGTTCTGTTTGTATAAGAACACAGACCACTGTCTTGTGAGTATATAAGAAGATGATTAGCATATTAACACTAGCCAAACCCACCTATGTGACCCTCTAGATCAGTGGTCTCCAAACTGCGGTCCTTTGCTTGCTTTTATCTGGCCCTTCGAGCACTACTTTATTCACTGACCGCAATGAGAGACAACAATGGGAGACAATTCATAGTTACATAGTTAGTCTGGCTGAAAAAAGACAAAAGTCCATCCAGTTCAACCATAGAAAAAAAAGTTATAATCCTATACCCACAGTTGATCCAGAGGAAGGCAAAAAAACCCCCAGCAAAGCACGATCCAATTTGCGCCTGCTGGGAAAAAAAATTCCTTCCTGATCCCCCGAGAGGCAATCTGATATTCCCTGGATCAACTTTACCTAGAAATGTTAGTAGCCAGTTATATTCTGTGTATCTAAGAAATAATCCAGGCCTTTTTTGAAGCAATCCACTGAGCTGGCCAGAACCAACTCTTGAGGGAGTCTATTCCACATTTTCACAGCTCTCATTGTGAAGAAACCTTTCCGTATTTGGAGATGAAATTTCTTTTCCTCCAGATGTAAAGAGTGCCCCCTTGTCCTCCGTGTTGAGCTCAGTGTGAATAGCCCTACACTGAGTTCACTATATGAACCACTGATGTATTTATACATGTTGATCATATCCCCACTTAATCTTCTCTTCTCGAGAGAGTAAATTTAGTTCCTCTAATCTTTCCTCATAGCTGAGCTCCTCCATGCCTCGTATCAGTTTAGTTGCCCTTCTCTGTACTTTCTCCAGTTCCCCAATGTTCTTTTTGTGAATTGGTGCCCGAAACTGAACTGTATATTCCAGATGAGGTCTTACTAATGATTTGTACAGGGGTAATATGATATCTCTCTCTCTGGAGTCTATACCTCTATTAATACAAAGAGGATTTTGCTCGCTTTAGAAACCGCAACTTGGCATTGCATGCCATTATTAAGCTTGTGATCTACCAGAACCCCCAGATCCTACTCTACCATTGATTCCTCCAGTTGTACCCCCCCCCCCAGTATGTATGATGCATGCAAATTCTTAGCCCCCAAGTGCATAACCTTACATTTATCAACATTCACCCTCATTTGCCACATAGTTGCCCAATTAAACAGTGCATTGAGGTCGGCTTGTAAGTTGAAGACATCCTGTAAGGACGTTATTCCACTGCACAGCTTGGTGTCATCTGCAAAGACTG